GGGACAGCCCACTGGGGTCCTCCAGCCTCTCCAGCAGGCTGTCAATGTCTTCCAGGTCGTTGTCTTCCTTAAGAGAGGCAAACCCAAGGCAGTTATTACGGGATGAGTCACAGCATCATGCAGTTCACCCAGTGGAGATCTCAACACAGCTGCCTCCAGCTCATCCTGATCCCTGTGCAATGGGCTGTGGCTCTTCATAGGATCCTGGAATGGTTTGGGTTGGAAGGGACCTTAAAGCTCACCTCATTCCACCCCCTGCCATGGGCAGGGACACCTTCCACTAGACAAGGTTGCTCCAAGCCCTGTTCAATCTGGCCTTGGACACTTCCAGGAATGGGGCAGTCACAGCTTCACTGGGCAACCCGTGCCAGGGCCTCACCCCCCTCACAGGGAAAAATTTCTCCCTAATAACCCATCTAACCCTTTCCTCTCAAAGTAGGCTCTTTTCCCCTTGTCCTGTCACTCCATGCCCTTGTCCAAAGATACCTTAAATATTTAAATAACCAGCCTTCACCATTTACTTTCCGTGGAAGCACCAAGTTACTGCCGTGATCCCCGTGATAAGGTCTCAACTGCTCACATGACTTTAATCCAACTGTCACATTCCCCATCTTCCAACCACCTCAGGAATCCATCCAGCTGCTCACATCCAACAGTTGTATAACACTTTTACCCTGATTTCCCTCTATTTTCCCCCCACAAATAGCAAGTGACACATTTCTTACGTGCCTGTTTCACATCCTCCTGATAATGTTCGTGGGTGGAACACAGAATTCCATTCAGGAAACCCAAGCAGCATTGCCAGCTTGCCTTTTCCAACTAAATTTAGCCCCTGCGCGTGGAGCATATACAGGGAAGGGATAACGTGCTCTGCATGGAAGTGCTAGAACAGAGGTTGTATTATCTTTGGTTGGCAAACCCAACTGCCTGGGTCTGGGTCTCCTCCCAGTCTCCAGCTGGCAGATGTCACCCTGTTGCTTGATATTCTTGGAGTGGGAGAGGAAATGGCCTCTTCACTTGGTTCTCCACCTCTGGAGCTCGCTCCAGACTGGAATCCCCAGGGAGGAGGTAGCCAACTGGGCGATTCAGCAGTTCAACATCCTGTGGCTCAGGATGTTTAGTAAAGGATCTCCCCGGACTGAGAAGGGAAGTTGGATTCGATGATCTTGCAAGTCTTTTCCAACCTTTATGATTCTGTGATTCTATGGACAGTTCAGACTCAAACCTGACCAGAAAACCAGCTCCCACGTGAACCTCATTCCTACTGAAATTAGAAGATCAATGGCTTTTATTCATCTGCTGCTTCCAGCTCTGGGCTCCCCAATGGAGCTGCTGGAGCAAGTCCAGAGGTTGGCCATGGAGATGCTCCAAGAGAGCTTCCAGTGCCCAAAGGGGCTCCAACAGAGCTGGAGAGGGACTTTGGACAAGGGCCTGGAGTGACAGGAAAAGGAGCAATGGCTTCCCACTGCCAGAGGGAAGGGTTAGATGGGAAGAAATTCTTGTCTATGAGAGTGGTGAGGCCCTGGCACAGGTTGCCCAGAGAAGCTGTGGCTGCCCCATCCCTGGAAGTTTCCAAGGCCAAGATGGACAGGGCTTGGAGCAACCTGGTCTAGTGGAAGGTGTCCCTGCTCATCACAGGGGGTGAAATAAGATGAGCTTTAAGATCCCTTCCAACCTAAACCATTCCAGGATTCCATGATTCTAAAAATGCTTCTTTACACTTATATTTTGAAATGTTTTTTTGCCTCAAATCTTTTCTGCAGCCACCCCAGAATTCTCACTTTGCAGGCCCTATTGGAGGAATCAGCCTGATCCCTGACTCAGAGCACACACAGACATACCACAGTGTCTCCTGATGAAGTTTTCTTGGTTTTCCTTTTCTTTTTTTTCTTCCGTGGCTTGTTACTCGATGTGGGCTGCAAAGACAAAGGAAAGAGCTGTCAGCATATTCTAAGGGGTGTCAGCTCCATGAGAAGAAGAGCATTTCCCACTGGGATCAGCATACCAAGTGCCCTTACACAAAATCAAAATTCATCATTTCCTGTTTGTCAGAGAGTGGAAATTTAGACACATGGAGAAAATGGATAAAGCACCAAAGTTTCCCAAAGAGTTAAATCTCAGTTGACTTTCAGATCAGTGTCTGAGGCTACAAAACCAGGAAAGACAGAAGTTTAGCCGTGCCAGGTGTGGAGAAAATGCTTTATCCTCCTTTAGTCTCCAGGAGAAGCTGGATTTCTGTCTTTGTAGTGAGTAGGACAGTTTCCAGTTTCTCCGGTCATTCCCATTTCTACAGAAACCAACACCTGCTGCAAGGCCACAGCAAAATGCAGGTGCAGCTAGTGCTTCCCTCTCCCTGCAGGTGCAGCTGCTTCAGCTCAGGATGCTGTGTGGCATTCCCTAAAGTGAAAGGCACACCATTGCCCATGCTGGCTCTTCCTTGGGGTGTACACAGCTGGAAAACACATTTCCAGGATCTAGCAGGTAATACAGCAAGGAATCACAGAATCCTGGAATGGTTTGGGGCAGAAGGGACTTCAAAGTTTATCCAGTCCCACCCTCTGCCATGGGCAGGGACACCTTCCACTAGATGAGGTTGCTCCAAGCCCCGTCCAACCTGGCCTTGGACACTTCCAGGGATGCGGCAGTCACAGCAGTGACTGTCTGGCAGTGGGAAGCCAGTCCCCCTTGTCCTATCAAGTAATGGTGTTACCAGAACCACCCCACATTGGTTCCAGAATCGAGGGAAGGTGCAGCCCCAGTCTGGCTCTACCCAAGAGCAGCGTCCACCTCCCCAGGGCTCCCACGGAGCTCTGGGAGCAGCCACAGGTGTGTCCTGGGGTGCTGACACAGCAAACTCACTGGGTCAGGGCCCCTGGAGCCACTGCTTACATAGGGACCCACTGTCCAGAGCACTCCCAGACACTGGCACAGCTGGAATGTGCATAGATAGCGGACTTTGCCCCTCTGGCACCCAAAACCCATGGGCACATGACCCAAATGCACAGCAAGCAGGTGAGGCCAGGGGGCCAACCCCACTTTGCTCCTCCAACCTTCATCTCTGTGAGATCCAAGCCAAACTTGCCATGGAAAATTGATAGTTAAATGTCCCTTTCCTTACAAAATCCTGCAAGGAGACACCTGTGAGCTGATACAAACCATGGGAGTGAATCTTGACACCAAACAACAATAAATCACTATGGGGAAGAACACATTCAGTGTTTAGTTGACACTGCTTGGAGCCTTCACATCCCCTATTCCAAAACAAATGCTTCTCTGAGACCATTCTGAGACCCTGCCCTGCCTCAGCTCTTGTGTGGCACAGGGTCTTCCTTGGGAGCCTCCTCTCTGCAAATGGAAAATCTCCCTGGATCCCACACACAAACCGTTTGGTCCGGCTGCTCGGCCTCCTCCCCCTCTCTCTGCCCATCGTCCGTGTCCTCAGCCACAGCCCCTTCCTTGTTCCTCTCCTTATTCCCTCCTGCCGTGTCCTGCTCGCTGAGCCGGGTGTCCACTCGCTCCTCCTCAGTCAGCGGCTCATCCTCCGACTCCTCGGCAGGGATCTGCAAACAGAGGGACAAACTGCAGGGACAGTGCCGGGATGGAATTCCCCAGGGATCTAATCTACCACTCCACCTACAAGCAGATGGAAATGACCCCTCACGTCAAGTGTGTCACCCAGCAGGTGCCTATACAGCCCCATGCCCATGGAGGGGAGCACAGGGACACCACAATGTGTCCTCTCACACTACAGCCCTTTCCGGACTCTGCTGTTCCTTGGGAAGAGTTTCCAAACCCAGCCCTGCCTATGCTCCAACAGCCAGGCCTTGGGGAAGAACAGGGAACAGTCTTAGCTGGATGAGGTGTCTGGAGAGCAGGACCAGGCTCTGTCACCCCAAAGACCTGGCAGTACCACCTGGGTCCACACGACCTCCAACCTCCAGCACTGTGCTCCTGCAGGGCACAATGGTGGCAGGAGTGCTCCTAAAAATAGTTTGCCCACCCCAGCTCTGACAACATCCAAACTCAGGCCTCCCCACCATTTCCTCCCAGTTCAGCCCCAGCTGTACCTCCCCACCATTCCCAGTCACCCAACACCCAAACCCCTCAGTCCCACTCCAGTCACAGACCCCAAATCACTGCCTCCCATCAACTGTCTCCTCTGCCACACCCCTTGTCACCCCCAGCTCCCCTGTTCCCCCCAGACACTGCCTACAGGTGACCCCCCCACGGTCACCGGCCTCCCAGTGACTGCCCACCCGGTCACTGCCAGCCCAGCTGCCCCCCAAGTCACTGTCGCCCTGTGACTGCCCCCCCAATCGCTCCCACAGTCACTGTCGTCCCAGCTGTCCCCCCTCACCAGCTCGAAGCGGTTGCTGACGGCGGCGCGGGGCCGGTTGCCGGGCGGCGGTGGCGGCCCCGCCTCTCGGGCCCGCTCGGGGCCGGGGTCGATGCCGAGCTGGCCCAGCCCCGGCCCCTCCTGACCCCGCTGCTCCCCCCGCAGCCGCCGCAGGGCCCGGCGCGACATCACCCCCTCCGGCTGTGCGCCTGCGCCTCGCACCGCGCCTGCGCGCCCGTGTCAGCCCCGCCCACCCCGCACCGCGCGCTCCTATTAGCTGGGCCACGCCACGCCCCCCGCGACCTCCGTGGCGCCCCCCGCGCCAGCCCCGCGTGAAATATGTCCCGTCGGGGGGCGGGGGGGGGTGTGGGAGCGGGGCGGGGAGACGACCCCGGGACACGGGGGACACCCGGCGATGGGCTGGGGGAGCCGGGGGGACAGGCGGTGAGAATGAGCACTGGAATGGGGAGAAGGTTGTTCCCACGGTCCTGTGCAGTGTCGCGGGTGGGCACTGCCGTGGGATGGGACAGGAAGGATGGTGAGGCGGATGTGAATATGGAGTGGAGTGCAGAGGGTGGTGGTCCCCGGCCCCCTGACGTCCCCCAGCACCCTGCACCCCGCTCTCCTGCCCAACAACCCACTCAGGACCAACCACGCGACCCCAGGGCAGCCCAGCGGGTTTATTATCGGAGGGGGGCCATACAGAGCAGCCGTGCCAGCCCAGGGCACTGGGCACCCCGGCACAGCCAGGGCTTGGCACAGAAGCAGGGCTGGGGGGAGCCAATGCGGGGGGCTGCAGGTGCCCCACCGTGGGATCCGTTCCCCCAGGAGCTGCCCCACGGTGGGATCTGTGCCCCTGGGGACTGCAGGTGTCCCACAGCGCGATCCATCCATCTGGGCATTGAGAGTGCTCTATGGTGGGATCCATCCCCTTGGAGACTGTGGGCGCTCCGCAGCAGGACCTGTCCTCCCAGGAGCTGCCCCACGGTGGGATCCTTTCCCCCAGGTGCTGCAGGTGTCCCACACCTGGATCTGTTCCACCAGAGGCTGCGGGTATCCCACAGCTGGATCCACCCCCTCAGGCACCGTCCCACTGTGGAATCCATCCCGTCCTGGGTCTATGGGTACCTCGTGGTGGGATCCATCCCCTCAGAGGCTGCAGGTGCCCCATGGCAGGACTTGTTCCTCCCCAGGGGCTGGTGGCAGGGATGGAAAGGGAATGCGGGAACGGGTCCTTTTGCCCCTGGTCCATAACGTATATAAATATAGAGGCTGTGTGTATCCATCCTATGTATATATGTACATCGGGGAGCACCCCCGTGGCGCCCATCCCGAGGCACCGGGCCCCTCACTGGAGCCAGGCGTCGCTGTAGAGGGAGCGGGCCTTGGCGTGGCGCCGGGACGCGGCGCTGGCGTTGAGCACGGCCACGCTGCGCCGGCTGGAGCTCACCACGTCCGTCACGAACCCGGCACAGTCGGGGCACACGTCCCGCAGCACCGAGCCCTGTGCGTAGATGTGCGGAAATTCCTCCTCCACGCGGCGCCAGCACGACCCCGACAGCGAGCTGAGGCACAGAGCGCTCCGTCAGCACCCGCTGGGAGCAGGAGGAGGAGGAAGAGGGAGGAACGGGGAGGAAGGTTCGGGAACTCACTGGAAGGGCTCCCTCCGGCGCAGCGGCAGCGCCTTGGAGAGCAGCGAGCCCGGGAGGCTCTCGAAGCCCAGCGCGTAGACGGGGATGTGAGCCAGCTTCTTGGAAGGCATCTTCATCTGCCGGGATGTGGGAGTCAGGGCGGGATAGGACGGGAACAGGGATGGGATGGGACACAGTTGGGATGGGGTGGGGCAGGGATAAGGGACTGGGCAGGGGCAGGGCTAGAGATGGAGTAGGACAGGGATGAGATGGTGCGGGACAGGGATGGGATGGGTCAGAGAAATAGCAGGACACATACAGGGACAAGGCAGGACAGGGATGGGATGGGGCAGGGACAAGGGAGAACAGAGACAGGACAAGGACAAAATGGGACAAGGCAGGAAAGGGACACAGTGACACTGGCCAGAGCCAGGCCCTTACCTTCAGGCTGCAGGAGCTACAGACAGACCTGGGGACACAGAGAGAGGTGTGTGAGAGGGGCCATCACAGGGACTCTCCTGCCACCCTCCCAGCCCTGTGACACGGCACAGCACAGTACTCACCGCTTGCAGAAGAGACACGCCGCGGGCCAGGAGAAGAGGGGGAACTTGGCCCTGCAGCAGCAGCAAACCTGCAGGCAGAGTGGGGTGAGTTGGGGCACACCCCCACCAACCCTTCTGGCTCTCTGGCCTCATTCCCACCTTCCCTCTCCGCAGGCTGCTGTACAGCTCCTTGCTCTGCAGGAACTTCTCCATCTCAGCCTTGACCAGCACCCTGCGGACATTGATCATCTCCTCCACGGTCAGGGCCAGGCTCTCCACGGGGTGGCTGAACTCCTGCAGGACACGGGGATGTCACCATGAGCTATGCCCACAGTCACACTTGCCTGGTGTCCTCAGCCCCAGTGTCCCCAGCCCTGGTGTCCCCAGAACCCACCAGCCAGAGGTGCTTGGAGCTAGTGGTGGGGGCACTGCTGGATCCATCCTCTGGTCTCTCCTCCACAGCACCGAGGGCAGCCCGGGGTGGTGCTGGGCCATCTGGCAGCCGGTGACAGCTGGCAGGGACAGAGCCTATGAGGAGGCACAGGGAGGTCATGGTGAGGCCATGTTACCCAGTGCCACTGCTGCAACAGGGCATGACACAGCCCCCTGGGGATGGGGACAAGGGGATCTCCAGCGGTACCTGAGCGGGGCCGGGGCTCAGGCTGCAGCGGCTCCGGGCCCTGAGGTGCAGCCTGGTCACCCCCCAGCTGGCTCTGCAGCTGTGCCAGGTCTTGCTCCGAGAAGGAGCGATCTCGCTTCAGCGGCACCTCTGTGCCTGGGGAGTCCTCGTCCTGCAAGGCCATGGGCACCATATCACCCCAGGTACCTGGCACCCCCCATGTCCCCCCACCTCCAGGATCCCCCCTTGCCTCAGAGAGGTTCATTTCCTCCATCTCGGCCAGGGTGGGCGCCTTGAGGAGGACGCGTGGCCGTGGGCGCGTGGGCATGGCACTGGCTGGGCACCGGGAGAGCTCAAGGCAGGAGCTGGAGGCCAGGCGGCCAGCACAGGCGTGTGGGATGCAGGGCAGGGAGCTGTACCCTGCAGAGGGATGGGCTCAGTGCCACAGGGATGGGCACAGAGCTGGCGTGTCACAGCAGGGAGGGGACACTGGTACCTTTCTGCTCCACAGGCCGGAGCTTCCGCTCCTGCCTGATCTCCTCCAGGATCTTCTCGTGGAGCGTCCTCTGCTTTTGGGGCAGGGGCCGCAGCCGTCGCTCTGATGCCTGTGGGATGTGTGGATGGGACCTCAGGCGGTAGCTGTGGCTCAGGGATGGCACTCCCAGGGTAGGCATGGCACTGTGCCAGGAACATGTCCCAGTGCCAGTGCTCACCTGCTTCAGGGGGGGCCGGGAGCGGATGAAGTCGAGGATGAGCTCGTGGGCATCCTTCTTCACCCGAGGGGGGATGTCTCCATCCACCTGGGGAGGGCAGGGGGTCAGTGCCAGGCAGGGGCATGGTAGGATGGATGGTGAGGGGCTGGCACGGTGGCTGCACTCACCATGACCTTGCGGAGTTTGTAGTTGCGGGCGCGGATGTCCTGCATGAGCATCTCGAAGGGCGTGAGCTGGTACTCAGTGGGCAGTGGGTTGAACTGTTTCTCCTGCACCTTCTTCAGCTTCACACCATGCCGCAGCTCCCGCATCAGCTGTACCCACAGCCGGGCCTGGGAGGACCCAAGGACACAGCGTCAGCACCCACTCATCCCCAGCATGACCCCCGTGCCCCAGCATGCCACCGTACCCAGTCGGTGTTGCGCAGGCTGCCCAGCTCTGCCGCCGGCCGCTCCTCCTCTTCCTCATCCTCCTTCAGCTTCTGCAGCAGCTGTTGCGGTACAAGATACTGTCACCCTGCCCTGATGGCACTGAGGGTCCAACTGAGACCATGTCATGGGGCTGCAGCACTGAGGTACACCCCAAAACACCCCCATTCCCACCTGGCACAGCGCTCTGGGAGATGTATGGCCAAACGCCATACATCCCACCAGCAGCCCTGGTGGGATGGGCAGAGAGGGCACAGGCTGGCCTCCCTGGCTAGGTAGCAGTACCAGTGGGCACCCACACTCACCTCCTTGGCATCACGGATCTTGGCGAGGAAGGCCATGAGCTCCACAGTTTCAGCAAAGAGTGCCCGGCACACAGCCTGGTAGTGCACTGGGGCGCCAGCAGGGTCTGCCAGGCGGGCGGCACAGCACCGCATGGCCTGGCCGAAGGTGCGCACGGCGCGTGGCGGCCCCTCACCCCCCTCCTCCTCCTCCTCCTGCCCGCCATAGCCCTCGTCAGCCGTGGCACAGCCGCTGTCCTCCGAGTCGCTGTTGGTCATCAGGTCAATGAGCTGCTCCAGGCGTGGGCTCAGCTCCCGCTCCTCATTCTCGTCCAGCCCCCAGTCCAGTGCCCGGTACACGGCAAAGCCCAGCGACTGCACCATCTGCAGGACATGGCAGGGGCTGGGCATCGGATGCACCCTGGCACCAGCTGCCCCCTCACCCATCAGTGCTGGGTCCCAACCCAGGACTCGTGGGCGAGGGGACCAGGTGGCGGTGCCCACCCCATACTGGGGTGTGATGGCAGATGAGGTCAGTCACCGGCCCCCACATACCTGGGCTTCAGCGGAGGGTGTCAGCAGCGCGGGCAGGTCTGGGGGAGGAGGGCAGAGTCACTGCTGGCACCCACAGCCCCGTGCTGGGCATCCCACCCCGCATTACCTAGGAATGTGGTGTCCACCCAGCTCAGCTAGGAAGCATCCACCCTGAGCAGGTCCCACCCCCAGCAGTTTCTACCCCAAACTGGGACTCCCATTCCTGGCTGCTCCCAACCTGTCCTGGTCCCAGGGCATGGCTCCATGGGGCAGTGGGCACCCGCACACTGAGCCCTGGCATTGGGCATTGCCAGCGCCGCCTCCAGGGGGGCACATAAGGGGGGCACAGGCATTTCTTTACCCCTTACCTCCAGGGTCGAAGGGAGCTCAGAGCTCTGCAACTGTGGGGAAATGCCCCTGCATCCCTTTGGGCTGTGGGAACCAGGAGTGTGGGCAGTGGCAGTGTGGGCAGTGGCAGTGTGGGCAGCAGCAGTGTGGGCACTAGCAGCGTGGGCACTGGCAACGTGGGCACTGGCAGCCACAACTGGAGCATGGCGCACACACACACACAGAGCCCAAGACATGCTTGTGGCAGCTCAAACCCTCCTGCCAGCTGCAGGATGAGGAACACGATTGGCCTTTGCGGTGTCCCCGGGGCTCCCAGCTCTGCTTCCCAAGCATTAGCTCTGCATTGAGCTGATCAATGCCGCAGCTGAGAGGATATGCCAATCGTGTGCCAGCCAGGAACAGACAGCAAGAGCAGTTCCAGTCATGGTGTCACACACAGACCCACCACCAACCCATCTGTCCCAGCCATGCCCAGCTCCCACTGCATTGCCATCCCTGGGGTGCCATCATCACTCTGTAGTTGCTAACTGACCGGCAGGCTGAGCCCAGTGGGTCCCAGCAGCTCCCTCCAGCCACTGGGACACAGCTGAGGAGGGAGTTCCCATGGGACAGGGGACTGGAGTGGCTCCAGAGGGTGCTGTTGGTTCAGCCACCATGGATCCAGCCCCATGCCCGGGCAGAGCTGCCAAGCCATGTGCCAGGTTGTTACCACCACCTGCAATGGTGCCCAGAGGTATCCGGAGCCCTCCCAGCCTCAGGCTTCATTGTGAAGAGGCCTGTTTCATCCCTCTGGGGAGATGGCTCAGGTTGGCACAGAAGTGACCTGGGAGCAGGAGGCAGCACAGTGTCACTAGCATGGTGGCACTGGCAGGTGACACTGGCTCCAGCCCCACAGTGGCTCAGGGCAGGGCGTGGGGCCATTCCCAAGCAGGACCAGTGGAGCCGGTGTGACCACGCCAAGCCCAGCTGCCACAGGCACGTGCTGTGCCTGTGTGTGTCCCTGCCTTGGGCACAGAGATGCCCAACGCACCCAGACTCCAGTCCACTGCCCCGGCCACCTGCACCAAGGCCGTGTGGTGACCCCACATCACCAGCCCTGGTGCCCTCCCCGTGGGATGAGACAGGTGGAGGTGTTGGCCGCACTCCAGGTGCTCCTGGAGCTGCCCAGTGTCACCACTGGCAGCCAGCCCAGCTTGGTGACACCCCAGAACCATCACAGCCATGGCTGGTAGTGCCAGTCTCCCACGGAGGGATGGCCAGGAGGCTGAAGGTCAGATATGGGGCTGCCCTGTGTGCCACTCGCAGGGGGTTGGGGGAGGACAAGGTGCCCTGCATGTCCAGGTGTGGGCAACCTATGGATGTCTCTGTGGGTGTCCCTGTGTCTGTCTGTCCTTGCCGTGTGTGTCCTGCAGCCCCACAGTGGATGCCAGGACGATATACACCCCCACATCCAGGTTCAGCCTCATTGGGTTACACAGAAGGCCCTGCCGGTGACAAATGTCGGTGCCATACCAGCCCTGGACCCCCAAGTCATCAGCCCACCTTCCCCACCAATCCCAGCAGTGCCAGTGCTGGTCCCCATCGCTGGGGCCAGGGCTTGAGGCTCACCCCTGTCCCTGCCTCTGCCGCCTTCTTGCCCGCCGGTGCCGGCACTGTGCCTCTCTCCATCCTCACAGTCTCTCCCAGCCTCTCCGGTGCCCTCCCTGCACCGCTCCCCTGCGGGTGGTGCCTCTGTGCCTGTCCCCCTTCCCCAGCGATGTCGCTTCTTCTGCCTATCCGTCGCTCCCGGTACAGGTCCTTCTCCACCGGCCCCGGTCCCTCCCGCCGGGGCCGCTGCGGTTGCCCCCCCCCCCCAGCCGATATCCCCCGTCCCTCCGCGTCCCCGACGCCGGTGCAGCACCCCCTGCCGGTTCCGGTAAGTCCCCGTGCTGGTAAGTCTCGGTGCCAGTAAGTCTCAGGTGCCCGCTCTTTATGCTAGTAAGACCCAGTGCCCCGGGACCCAGTGCTGGTGAGTCCCAGTGCCTGTAAGTCTCGGTGCCGGTAAGTCCCGATATGGTGGGTCCCGGTGCTAGTAAGCCCCAGTGCCGGTAAATCCCGTTCTGCTAAGCCCCAGTGCCAGTAAGTCCGGGTTCCCGGGTCCCAGGGCCAATAAGCTCTGGTGCCCTGGTGCCTCGCTCCCGGTGCCGGTAAGTCCCCGTGCCGGTAAGCCCTGGTAAGCCCCAATGCCATTAAACCCCGGGTCCCGGTAAGCTCCGGTAAGCTGTGGTAAACCCCGGCGCCCCGCTCCCGCGGTGCCGGTAACTCCTGGTGCTGCCAAGCCTCGGTGCCCCGGTAAACCCCAGCAAATCCCGGTGCCTGCAAGCCCCGGTAAGCCCCGGTAAGCCCCTGTAAGCCCCTCTCGATGGTGCCGTCCCGTCCCCCCCCCGCGCGGGCACCGCCCGCTCCCGCCCCTCCCGTGCAGCGGCGGCCTCACCGTGCGGCGGGGCGGGCAGGCGGAGGGAGCCGTCGGCGCGGAGGCGGATGTCGGCGGTGCGGAGCGGCGCGGGGGCTACGGGGGTGGCGGCGGCGGCGCGGCAGCCCTGGAAGCAGAGCGCCCAGGCCTGCTCCTCGTTCAGCGGCTGCTCGTAGCACTTCAGCACCTCCTCCAGGGATAGCTCCCGCGGCGGCCCCGCGCCCGCCCGCGCCATCGCCCCATCCCGCACCGCCGAGCGCGGCGGGCGGGGGACACGGGGCGGGGGCGAGCGGGGACACGCCCCCGAACGGCCACGGCCACGCCCGCGCCATCGGCCTGGCCCGGCCCGCACCGCCAGGAGGGCGGCGGGGGCGGGGGCACGGGGACAGGCCCCGCCCACCGCCCCGGTCACACCCACCGCCCCGGCACCGGCACCGGCACCGCCGGGGGCACCCGCCGGGAGGGGCTGCAGCGGCGCCGGGGGGCACCGGGCCGACTGGGACGGCGCGGGGCGAGGCGGCTCGCTGCGGTGCGGTACGGTACGGTATGGTACGGTACGGTACGGTGCGGTATGGTACGGTACGGTACGGTATGGTATGGTGCGGTACGGTGCGGCACGGCACGTTACGGCACGGCTCGATATGTATGGCACAAGTCGGTACGGTGTGGCACGGCTCAGTATGGTATGGCATGACTACTGTGTGGCACTGCATGGTATAGCACGGCACTGTAAAGTGTGGCACACTCGGTACAGTGGGGCATGGCTCGTTAGTGTGACATGGCACAGCACAGCTCGGTACTGCATGGCTCGGAATGGCACAGCTTGGCATGGCATGCCAAAACACTGCACATCACAGCTCAGCACTGCACGGTACAGCACAGTGTGGCTCGACCCGGCCCGCCCAGGACTGGGTGCAGGGAGTGGTTGCCCCAGATTACCTGAGTGTAAAGTGCAGGGCACACATCTGGGCACAGGGCACAGGGCATGGGTGCCCCAGGCATGGGGTGAAGGGCACGTGACAAGGGGCAGTGCCTGGGGTGGGTGCAGGGCAGTGCTGGCTGACACCCCACAAGGGACACAGGAGCCCCATTCATCCTGAGAGGATCAGGGTGGCTGCAGCACATGGTTTGGGCCCACCTCTGGCTCCCAGCTCATGGGGTCAGCATGCCATGTGTGGGGCAGCAGGTGGAAGGACACAATGGCCTTGGGACTGGGATCACCTGGGGACACAGAGCAGGAGTGAGGGCAGGAACTCAGAATGCAAGCACCCATGGGAACACCTGCCACAAGGCACCTGCCTGTGGGGTGCTGGAGAGCCCAAGGAGCTCATCTGGGATTGGGAGGGAAGGGCCAGGCTGGGACAGGAAAACTCCCCTAGAGGGAAGGAGACAAACTCCAGATGCCAGAGTGTGGTTTGGGCATGGCCAGGAACAGCAGGAGCCAGCTGAAAGTGCCAGGATGAGATGGAGTCTCTAGGAAGACAATGTCCCTTAGGAACATGGTGTGGGGATGGCATTCCACAGCCACTGGGAATGGCTGGCATGGCACGGTGCTGATAGTGGAATTGCCCTTGGGCATCAGCTTGTCCCTCTGGACACATGGGGAGGGCAGGAGTGTCCTGGCAGAGCAGAAAGGACAACCAGTCCATGAGAAAGGTCAGAGTGAGCACATGAACACTCTTGTCATGATGAGCTTCCCATTTCCATGATGGAAGGAGCATAAAACCCTATCTCAGCTCCATTAACCCATGAGCATAAACTGGGATCAATCCCAGAGTTGGGCTGGCTGGGCTGGGAGGGGGACAGAGCAGGGACATGGATTCTGTTTGTCTCACATAGCCAAAGGAGCTCCAGGGCCAGAGACTGCTGGCAAAGAGCCTGGGATGGAGGGGAAAAGCCCTTCAGTGCCCATCCCAGAGAACCTGAGGAGTGCCTGCTCCATCTTTAGATAAGAAAATTGGAGAATGGAGCTGGAATACTGTGAAATGTAGCCTTGTGCAGTGCCCTGGGGTTTGGGAAAGAGGAAGATGAATGCAGGTGCAACTCTGGGGTTGCTCAAATGCACCATGTCCAGGCGGGAGTGTGTTACAGGGAGTCGGGAACACAGTGCCAGCTTCATCTCCAGCCGCATCCACATGGAATACCACGTCTCCAGCCCCTGGAGCCGCTCATGGCTGTGATGCTGACACCTGACTCTGGTTTGATAGATTTGAATGCAACGTTTGCCCTGTAATCAGCAGGTTTGGAGCTTTCCTGGGAAGCGACTTCCTGGGAGGAAAGCCCACCGGAGCAGGGCCGCTCGGTGCTGGCTGCCAGCTTTCCATTGCCTCCGGACACAGCCGGGGCGGCACCGGCAGGGAAGGGAGCGGGGAGGACGTGCGGCGTTTGAAGGCGAGGATAACCCACCCTGCAGGATTCATGGGATGGCATTTGCATGACAAAGCACGGAACCCTTTGCTTTGGGTAAATCTGCAATTAATATGGAATCGCGGTGTAATTAAAAGCTACTAGCGTGGAAAACTCAAACAGAAGCCAAGCGTGTGTGTGGATGAGGGAAATAGAATTAAAAATGGAAGATATAAGGAAAAAAAAAAAAGACGAAGAGCTTGGGAAAAGGTGTCAGAGCACTATGGGAGGGTTGGAATTCCTGGCTCCTTCAGTGTGGAATCAGGATGAGAGGTGGGATGGAGGGCAGACAGAGACCTTCCCCAACCACCTGCAGCAATGTGCCATGTTTCCTTGGGGATATGCCATTCCCATGGGTTTAAACTCTCATAATGCAAAAAATTTCCTTAAAAAGCCACAGGAACCTGGAATAAGCTCACGGAGCACCTGTGGGGTGGATGTGCCTCTCTCGTTTTCCTTCCATGCTGCAATAAACTGGGAACATGGAAGGAGGGGCGTTTGACAGGGCAGTTTCCTATTGCTGCATGCTGGCCTTGGATGTGGCTGGAGTTTAAAGGGGGATGCTCTGAGGGACAGCTTGGGGACATTTGGGGTCCATCCTGGAGGCACTGGGAACACCCTTGGAGAACTCAGAACACACTGAGAATCTCAGGATCACCATGACAGTGTTAAGGTTACCCTTGGGGACACATTGGAGGCCTCAAGGCCACATGGGTGACCTTGGGGACAACCTTGAGGACACCATGGGGACCTTGGACAGTGATGAGCTCTTGACTGTACCTCCTGATGTCCCCTTGTTGTGCTCCATCCCAGGAGTGGTTTCCTCTGTTTTTCCTTCCTTGGCCAAACCAGAGTCTGTAACCCAGTGTTCCACAGCACTCACTGCTCCCAGACTTTCTGATTCCCTGGAATGCCCTGGCCAGTCCCAAGGCAATGAACTCCCACACTGGATACTGGCACTTGGATCTTCCTGAGGGGACACCGACCCCATCCTGCTGCCTTCCCACCACCTTACCCTCTGGAGTGGGTCCACAGTCAGGAAGTACCAGGTTCCCTGGACACTGATGCTGTGTCCATGTGAATAAACATCAAGAGTACCCTGGAATTCCAAGCTCTCGGTCATACACCTGCTGGGGCTGGCCCAATGGGGGATCCCAAAATCTCAGGCTGCCCTAAACTTAACAGTGGCATCCTGAGGGGTTAATGTACCTCAGGAATGTGACTCTGGCAAGGGTTCCCAAACTCAGTGCTGTGGGGTCTCTCTGCAGCCTCCCCAGCACCAGCTGCCCGACTTGCTGGCACTGCTGGGAAGTGTTCTCCGGCTCTTGGCACATGTGCTGCTGACTCACCCCCGCCAGGGCCAGCTCACGATGAACCATCCCATGGCCAGTTCTGGCAGGAGCTGATTCCCAGTGGTGGGTACCCAGAGGTTCACCTTCCCCTAAGGGATCACCACTATTGCTCCGAGTGCTCCACAGGGCACACGGATGAAGGCTGACAGCTGTAGTTCATCGCCAGGGAGGTTGAGACCAGGGGGAAAATCCCTCTGGGAATTCTACACTTCTTGCTATGGAAACTTACAGCCATTCAGGACTTAAAGGGAGCTGAGAAAAAAGAGACAGGGGTTTTGGAGAAGGGCACGGAATGACAGGAGAAGGGGCAATGGCTTTCCACTGCCAGTGGGCAGAGTTAGATGGGATATTGGGAAGGAATCCTTCCCTGTGAGTGTGGGAAGGCCCTGGCACAGGGTGCCCAGAGAAGCTGTGGCTGCCCCATCCCTGGAAGTGTCCAAGGCCCGGTAAAATGGAAGGTGTCCCTGCTCATCGCAGGGGGTGGGACTAGGTAGTCTTTAAGGTCCCTTCCCACCCAAACCATTCCATGATTCCATGATTTATTCCCCCAGCAATGCTGGTGATTCCTCTCTTTGGGAATTCCAGACGCTCTTGTCCCTGGGTGGGGCACAAGTCAGCAGCATCCTGAGCTCCGAGGGACACGGGGGTACGAGAGGCACATCTAGACAGGATCAGAGCCCCTTACCCGTGTTTCTGCACATCGCCCGTGTCCCCCCGTGTCCCCCCACATCCCGCTCTGTACCCCCACATCCCCCTCCCCAGCCACAGCCGCGGTCCCCCCACCTCTCCCCCCGCCCTCCCCAGCATGGCAGCCCTCTCCTCCGCCACTACCAAGATGGCGGCAGGAGGCGGGACCACGCTGTTCTTTCAGCCAATAGACAGAGGAGGCAGGGCGGGCCAGAACACGCCTCTTTTCCTTTCCAGCCAATGGGGAGAGGCGGGCGCGGCAGACGGCAGCCAATGGCTGCGCGGGCCGGCGTGGCGGGAAGCGGCGGCGCGGATGGCGGGCGCGGGCGGGCGGAGCTGGCGGGACCTGCTCGGTACGTGGAGCGGAGCGGCACCGGGGGGAGAGCCCCGGCCGGGCCGAGCGGGAACGTCCCCCCTCTGCCCAAACATGCCCCATCTTTCTGCCCTCATACACCCTCCTCTACCCCCAAGCATCCCCTCCTACCTTCCTCATACCCCCCTGCGCTCATACACCCACTCTGCCCTTCTGCAACCCCGCCCTCATATACACCTCTTCCCACTTCGAACATCCCCCTTCGCCCTCATATACCACCCCCTCGACTTTGTACAACCCACCTGCTATCGTACCCCCTGCTTTGCCCACCTAAATGCCCCCTTCTGCCCACCTCTAACACCCACCTCTGCCCTCCTCATACAATTCCCCCCGCCCACCTGTCCCACTCCATACGCTCCCCTCTGCCTTCCTCATCACCCCTTGCCCTCATACACCCCGCTGTCCTCATGCACCCCATGTGCCTTCATCCAGCCCCCTCTCTCTGCCCTCGAACATTCCCCCTCTGCCCTC